ACTTTAAACTTCTCACTTATTGTACTTTAAGCTCCATCAGTGAATGTAAATGGGGTTTCACTATACGTTTAGTGCATTCAAGCATTCTTTGTTACAGTTCCCACCCTGTCGCATTATGTGAGCTCTGCCACGGAAGTCCAGCAGTCAGTTTGTTTTCTGCTATTAATAAAAGAACCTACTTTTCCCCACTTCTTTGAAGAAGTTGAAAGGGCTACATGTTAGAGGGGGAGGTGGTGGGGAACAGACTGTGGTGTAATCCCCAAACGCAAATGCTGTCTAGATTAGAAACCTCCCTGAAGAAAATTTACAAATGCTAAGACTGTGCTTTTTGTGTGATGAACACTAGAGCAATAACTTAGCCACATACTGGGTTCTGCCTAATGCTTAAGGAGCCTACTAGGTGAAAGGAATTGAATGAAAAAAAAAATCTTCCAGTTGGCTCTGTGCCGATGCCATCCCAACCCTTTCAGTATCCAGTGACTTACTAGTGCAACTATTTTCATATGTATTTCATCACTAAGGTGTCTTAATATAACACTTAGGAACTTGTTAAAAATAAAACAAAACAAAACAAAATAAAACAAAAAAAAAAAAAAACCAAAAACATAACACAAATGGGATTTACACATCACCAGTGTTTTTACATAGTCCAGGAAAAGCTTAATTAAAAGAGTGAGATGGGTCTCTGCTGAATAGCTGTTTTTCCTTCATACCTTCCCATGCATGACACGCACACATCCAAGAAAAGAAGTTGGGGGGGGGGGGGTGGTGGTGGTGGAAGAAAACCACCCAAAACCACAACCAAAATTACCAGCCCTAAACTACTCAGCACAACCTTGTTGATTTGCTTGGCCATTTAAACAAATGAGTATGTTCCTTGTAGAGAATCACAGCCACATTGTAACAGCTAACAAGTAGAAGAAAAGTACAGTCTATTATCTGCCTTTTTCTCTGTAGGATACTCATATTGTTCAAACTATCATTACCGTATCTATTTTATTGTACAATTACGACTAATCCTTAACTACTAAATAAGCAGGAACAGGAGTAAAGATTGCAATCCTGAAAGCCTAAAAGATAAACTTTGGTCTATAATCGACTGGATGGTTCTGTGATTAATTTAAAATCCTACTTAACAGGTTAAAGATGTTTATAAAGATGAAATAATTTTATCAGCGTTGATCTTAATAATCTTATGTTCACTTACTCTCTAAGGCTTCCATAGTCCATCCACTTGTTGCTACTTAGGTACTGCAAGTAAAACATAGCTTTGCACACAAATGAATATAGCTAGATTCTGGTCAGGATATAACTCACCAGGTAAGAGTAACTCTAGTGTTGCCAAGGAATGGAACGAAGCAGCATCCAACAAACTCTGAAGGTGCCTATTGTAATCATCAAACAATGAAAAAATTTAACAAGGTAACAAATGTCTCAAATACATTGTTTGGACAAAAATATTTTAAATGAACATAACTAAATAAATCTACTTTTAATTGAGTGATACAGTTTCAGATGGCAATTTTATGGTATCCCTTTTTTTTTTTTTTTTTTTTATCTATCTATTACTTGTATCTATCTGACTATTTAGCTAGCTATAGACCTCAGACAGCAGTCGGTCTTTCATTTTTTTTTGTAGGCTACAGCCTGTTCCTAAGAGGAGATGACTGCTTTTCAGTGTGAAATTAAGTACCCAGTCAGGAATTGAGCGTAATCATCATATGGGCAAATCAAAATGATGGCTACATTTACTGCCTACAGAAATTTTTGCTGCACTGCATATTAACACACTGAAAATGTTGTGTTAGCTAATCGTGAATGTGCTGATTTTCATTACCCATGGAAATGCATAACATCTTCTGTTAAACTTATTGACATTTCTCACCAAATGAATAGAGCAATGCCCTGAAATGTGATAATTGTAGATTCTTGTTATACAACTTTGAGTAAAATATTCTTTCCTCTAATTCCAACAGTAATTAACTTGGATTGGAATTCCCCTGACTCATGTAACAGTCTTCAGCACTGTATTAATGGATCTTAGTATTTACATGGTTTGAAAAGAAACCCTGTCCCATATATGTAATATTATATTAAGGTGCTAAAGACTTTCAGGTTAATGAAAATAATTGATCAAATCACCCCATCTTGAGCTATAAGCATTTTAATTTTTTTTTTGTTGGTTTAGGTTTAAAATGAAATGGTATCTTGTTAAAACTTAAAATGTTTCAAAATTGAAGCTCTGTAAAATTGTTGCATCTCCCATAAAGACTAAAAATTAAAGTAGACAATTATCATAATAATAACCCAATTGTACATGGCAGACAAAAGAGAAGCTAATACTTTCCTCTGCTTTTTGACTGATGTTTTGTTGGGCTGTAGCTAAACAGCACTTTAAGTTGACAGTAAATTAGCAAACAATATGAGGGAGGAAAAAAGAAAGAAAATCATGCAGGGGTTAAGATGTTTATGTAAAACAGTGATTTTCCTTTTTAAAATTAAAACGTACAAATAAGCTGGTGTCAGAGACTAGGTGATCCTTCATTTCCACCGCATTGAGCAGGCTCACATCAGCAGCAGACAGCCGTTAATATATGCGTCTGGCTCAGTCTGGTCTACCAACTAGGAATTCATCGAATTGTTAATATCATTCCTTTTTTGTATGCACCACACATCATTTTCACTCTCTCTCTCTCTCTCTTCCTCCCCCTTTGCAAGAGCTTGTGTTTTGGTTTTTTGTTTTTGTTGTAGCACAAGCTGATTACTCTGAAATCACATATTAAATAGCATTTAAAAGCATTTTGGACTGAAACAACACAAAGTCATATAGAAATATGTTGAAATTCTGTACATATATCTAAGCATAGCATACCGAAGATGATGCTTTCTGTTTATTTGTGCTAATAGAGGCAGCTTTCATATACTGTCAATGTGTAAATAAGACTGCTTTCTGCATGGTGTCTGTAGGCATTGTCACGTAGTCCCAGGACAGGGAAACATCTTGTTGATCTTGGTGGGAATTCTGCCCGAATGAAGATCGGGATTCTCTCTCCCCTCCATCCGCCTCTGCCCCACCACAAGGAGCAAAATGTGTACCAGAGGTTGGTTTTACTGTGTTGAAACTGGGGAATAAGAGGGAGGAGGGAAAAAAGAAGGCAGTGTACCAACTTTTTTATCTCTATGGCAAGGGGCAGCAGTGAGTACAATGGGCAGAGAAGAGCCACTGGAGTTACCCCAACTCAAACAGTAATGCAGAGGCACTACTGCATATTTACGGCTTTTGCTGTAGCACCAAATAAGCCAGGTAGGGGTTTCTAATGATTCATTTTCTTCTCACATTCACTGCAGAGCAGAGCATACTTGAAATCTTCAGACTGACAGAGACAGACGTTTCACACTACAGTTTCACCTTCATTGTACGTACAGTATAAAATGCAAAATGAATTCAGAGTGCTGAACATGAACCATCCACATTCCAGTAAATTTTGCAATTCAAAAATATATGCAATGAAAATCTTTAATATGTGCACTGTATATCTGATGAAATCTGTAAGGATTTTTATTTTGATAAATATAATGAATTATTTAAATTGTATATTGACATGCATATACCTACACACAATATAGTTTTATCTCATTATATAGCTTGAATGAACAGAATATGGGTTCACCTGATCAGTAACTTAAATAGACCATTTTCAGTACCGAAAACTATTGTACATAATACATGTCAGTTGCTACTGAAGAGCTTCATGAGTGTAGTACCTAGCTGCATAGATTCGTCTTTTCTATACAGATTCAGATCTACTTTTCTAATATTGCCTAAATAGAGGTCAATGTTGAATAACACATCTGTGTTAAAAAATCACCTCTGTGTCTGAATGTTTGCAAGTAGCTCTTCTGAGTGTTCTTAGCATGTGGGATTGACAGTTTACGAAGAAAAGAACTGCATATTTACAGGAACTGTATCATCATTGTAATTGCTAAGGCAATATTTTTATGACTATTTAAAGACTAATTATATCTTGAGCAACTTGAAAACTATGTACAGTTCATAGTTTCTGTCTCTTAAGAAAACAAGACAACAAGAAAAAGTATTATACTAACAGATAAGAATAATTTATTTTAACAATAGTGTTGGTGCTTACAAAAAAACACAATTCCTCCCACACAAGTGGAAAAAATATTCTGCAGCCAAAATACCACTTCTGAAATAAACAAATAGTTTAGATGCCTGATCTGTGTGAAGCCTTTGTCTCAATGAAGCCTGATGTATCAACAAAGTTCCTGCAGCATCTTGGGTTAGGCACAGGAAACAGACAAAATGACTCAAAACTAACCCACCTATAAAATATTAAGAAATACAAATCAAATTATGTGTTGTAGTTCAAGACTAATGAATGGTGCAGAATAACTTGCATGCTTGTGAATCTTCTTATGTGAAGTATGTGAATTACTTAACACCTGAGGGACAACCTAAAGCTCCCTCTTTTTTTTTTGTCAGAGGGGGAAAAAATGCAAAAAGTGATGGAGAGGCTAGAAGTTGAGTCTGATGCTTAGAGTATCGCCGGCTCAGTTTAAATTGAACAGGTACAAGAAATGTGACTGTGTGCAAAGTGATTTTAATGCTGTAATACGTTTTTTACATCAATATTCTCTATCAGATTAAAATGTAAATTAAATGAGAGAATATTTTAAATGCCATATTGTGTTCTCACTTAGGCAAAAATAATGGCAACTAACTACAAAATAATCTTTGTCCCTTGTTACAGGAAAAGCTAAGCAAGTTTTCCTGTAGACTGAAATCATTATTCAAACAACAATAGAATGAAATGTTTTCTAGGCCTCAAACATCAGTGTTTATGTTTTATGTTTTAAAAGTTAATTAATGCTGTAACAATACAGCTTAAAATATACTTTGTGCTAATTATATATCAGAATTTTCAATAATAATAATAATAATAATATGGTCGAAAGTATTTTTTTTTTTTATTTCAGTATCTGTTTTGAGTTGGATTTTTTTTTTTTTTTTGTAGGTTCAAACTGGCATTCAGGTAAATTTTTACTTCTAAATGTTACATGGCATCTAGTCCAGTTTTCTAAACACACAAATATGTAACAGCCTAATGTTACACAATGGATAACAAGTGGGTTTTTTTGTAGGAACAGTTCTGCTGCTAAACATTTGAAAGAGGTATATTTTCCTTTTTTCCCTTCCAGACAAGGAAAGCTCCTTTGGTTCTCTAAATTCTGAAGAGACACAATCACAGTCCAAAGCTGCTGGTTCCCCTCCGCCTAGGTCCCAAGAGCCTGACTTGTGATTGTTGCTAAAAAACCTCACAAGTTAGGGTCTCAGGGACTAGGAAAAGTCCGATATGATCCAGTAGAATTCGTCTTCCAATAAACTGAATTGCTTAGTAGTCATAATCACTGTCATTAAAACTTTCACTGCTATTGTCAAAAAACAAAACAAAACAAAACAAAAACCAACCCAAAAAACAATGTCCCCTTCAAATCAACAACCCTCCTTCCCCCCAAATAAACAAACCACAGTTTCAAGTAGGGGGCAGAAAAGATCAAAAATGCAGGCAAGACGCATACATACATTCAAACAACGTATCAGCTGACTGAACAGAGTTTTCTTATAGTCCTTAACTTTTGAAAGGAAAAAACAAAGAACACAGGAAAGAAACCTTCACTGTCTTGTCTCATAAGTAGCTATATCATAATACATCAGAGGGAAGCGTCTAAAAATGGGTTAAAATCTGCTTCCAGCAGATCTGTACAGTAACAATTTTATTCTATTTCCCTTAATGCCTGAAAGAAGGATTAAATGCTCATTAAGGGGTTTCTAATTTAAATATTTCCCCACTATACTTTTAGTCCTACTGTTCAGGTGGGCCCTGGGTCAGAGAGTACTTTAAACCCATTCACGATGCAAGGATAACCTTTGGGCGTGTATTCACTTTTTGCCTCTTCCCCACGTTCAACATTTAATCCTTCTACAGGCTGCTAGCAAAAGCTTCTTCCTTTCCGGTGGCAAAACTAGCTTTCGCTCCATAAACTGTAGAAAACATTGACATGCAAAGGTTGTTGTCACTTGAGCCAGATTACTCAAAGCACACATAACTTTCAAATACTGTCAATACACTAAGAAGAAATGCTCGGGTTTCCCGAATAATTTCGTTCTGAAGCCGAACACTTTTAATGGCACAACCACAATCCCGAATTATTTTCGCATCCATTCTCCTCCGATCTTTAGCTTTGTTGGCAGAACGAAAAAGAAAATTTCTACTTTAGGGACAGGATCCACTGTGGCTTTTTTTTTTTTTTTTTTTTTTCCTCCATCAGAGCCCAGAGCAAAAGAAACAGCAGCCATAAAGGTCCTAGCCACTGGAGCAGGATCTGGCATAGAAAACAGTGCTCTTCGGGAAGCCGTTCAGCTTTAAAAAGGAAAAAAAGAGAAAAGGGGGGAAGAATTAGAATCTCTGCTGGTCGAACAGGTGAATCATCCATTTACAAAAAAGCTGTACAGAGCACTACTGCTGAAGAAAAGATTTGCCAGTGCCCCCCACCCCCACCCCTGCCCTTCACCCTCCCCTCCAAAATGATACTTCAGATTTCAGAACATTTTGGATTATCTAAAATATTATTTCACCTGATGATAAAATGCAACATTACATAAGAGCCGTTTCTTTGTCACTGTGCACCATTCAATCAGTTATGCCTCAGACACAAAATAGTTAAACGAAACAAAATATATATATGAGATATATATATATATGTATAGCAGTCCCTAGATTTCATTCAATTTCTTTTTTAAAAGCTGATCATGATTTAACAAACAATTTTGACCACAGCTTTCAAATCAATAATTAGAATGAAAAATCTCTCCCCTCTATAAATATGACATTAACATAATTATACCACCCCCATCGCATAGACCCATCCTCTTTAGGGAATACATCTGATGCTCTGAAGATGGAAATCAGTCAGATTTTAGTTGCTCTCAAACGTACCTTTGCTTCTCACTGACTGACTGGCTTTACCTTCCATGCACACACACAGTCACTAGCACACACACGCGCGCACACACACACACACACACACATGCGCGCGCGCACACACACACGCACGCACAAAAAGGCAAGGCAAAGCAGCGGATGCTGACTCAGAGCAGTTGTGTGTGGAGGGGGTGGTATCGGCTGGTATTTTCACTGCACTCATCATTAACATTAACTCACTCTCTAGCATCCACCCTCTCTCAGACCTGCTGGACTGCAGCATTTGCATGACGCTGTCACTCTAGCCCTTGTGGGTCAGATGTTAGAAGAAAAAAAAGCCTCAAGGCTCTCATAAGGAATGCCTTCATTTCTTCCAAAGGGTCCCTCTTCTTATTTTTCCACCTTTCTACTTCCTCTGTTGCTGTGTCTCAGTTGTTTGACATCTTTCCGGAAGAAAATGTCTTGAGCTGCAATAAGCCAGTAGTCAGTCGGTCCTCCCCTCACCTCACACTCCTATTCCCACCCCCTTTTTTTCCTAATCAATAAGACAGATCTCCAAATGCAGTTGTGAAAACAGGCTCTGACACACAGACTTTCATCCTCGATCCTCTGCCTCAGGAATAGCAGGCAACCCAGGCTCACACGTGATGTAGAGAGAAATAATGCCAGTAATTCTTGAACAGTCTTAGGAGTTTATTATACGCCTTCTTCATTTTTTCCTTTGCTTGAATAAATACCAGTGGGAAGGACACACTAGCTCTCAAAAGCTACGAGGATTAATTTCTTCAGAAAATGATGAACATTAAAAAGACTAATATTAATCTTCCTCAAAATTAATGCTATCTTTCTTCCCCCCACACACTCATTGTGCTCTTTATAAGTAGGAATTGTCTCATAGCCAAAACACTGTCAGGGACTGAATCACCATTCACTGTGCTGAAATCGTGAGTTTCTGGACTTCAATCAGTATTTAACCGGACTAAGTAATTTTTTTTTTTGTTTTAATTTTATTTATTATAGACTTAATTAAAACAAAATAAAAAATAGAAGCTGCTTGCGTCAGAGGGAGCACTGCGAGAGAACAATGGCAATACACCCGCACCACCACACCGAGTACTGAAAATGCATGTTTGAGCTACACTTGTGTATTTATCTGTATCCATGTTGGTAGAGCAGTCTGTGCACATACACGTATATCGAATACACACACACATACACAGAGAAACTCAAGACGCGTCTATAAAATACACAACACAAAACAAAGAACAAAGGCTGTTAACTGAAACACAGGCACAAGTTGTCTGACAGGCTATGAAAATCCACAGAGCATAATTATTGTGTGCATTTTTTACCTTGTTCCTTTGTTCTTAAGGCAAGGGACTTTAATGACTTACGGTGTTGACAATCTTTCGGCTTTTCCCTTTTTACGCCAACGGTATTTGGGAATTATTTTTCCAGACAATACCACAGCACTGTGATTCGCGGTATAAAAATTATTTACCAGAGGGGGGGACAGGTGATACGCAATTCGCCAGCCAATTCTCAGAGCTGCCTGGTGCCGTAGAAGCCCCCGGCGTAACCGGGCAGGGAGGTCCCAGGGTGCAGTGCTACACGGCAGCCCTGGCTCAGGTAGCCCTTTGGCAACCTGACGGCGGCAGCAAACGTGAAGGGCATCCGCTCTCAGGAAAGGTCCAAAAGAAAACACCGTGCAGCCCCGAAGTAAAGAAAGGAAGCCAAAGCACCGGGGTACACGCCCTAAACCCAGTTAGTACGCGCTTATGACCGGTCGGTGTGATGGTAATTAATTTCGTAGGAAAAGGATGGGGGAAAGTAGACAATTAGGAAACAGTTAAATTTGTAATCTCAGAGAAAGGGAGAGACGGAGACAGACACACACCCACAGACAGAGACAGAGAGCGAGCAGTGAACGCCAAGCATGAGACAACAAAAACAAGACTGAAATCAGATTTGGGAAACTGAGAAAATACAGGATTACAGCATTTAGTTTAGCATTTACTGAGGTATATAAAAAAAAAAAAATTAACACATGCATAGCATGGCTTAAAATACTTATTGCCATCAATAGTCTGTGACGGATGCCGGCTTCTTACTGCTATACGTACATTAGATTGGTCATCGCCTCTTAATCTCCTTTTGCTCAGACCCATCCATTTTTTGCTGCTCCAGCATCTGTGCCCTTTATGCTTTTTTTCTGTATAGTTACCCACAATACCCTGGATAAATTAATGTCATGACCTCGCTATGGCTATCAGACAGAAAAAAAAGTCTACTATTTTAATAATTGAACGTGCGCGTACAGCAAACTGCCTACTGATAGCCCGGCTTTGTGGACTGCCTCCAAAAGCAGCCTTTGCTAGCTCTGCGAATCAGAAACAACAGATGCAAATACTAGCCACATAGTCCCAGCTCTCTGTCTTGCTTTTTTTTTTTTTTTTTTAAGAAAAAAAAGCCACCCTTTTCAGTCTGTGCCATTTCATTTTCTCTGCATCTGCCCGCTCAATGGTTAAAACATTAGCCTGCCAAAATTAGAAGCTTTTGAATAAAAGCATAAAGATGAGTGAAAATTATAAATGGCTGCAGATTCTGGAAATTTATATCCAGACCGTGAGTAGGGAAGAGTACCCAGGTTCAAGTGCTGAGCCTCACTTGGGAGCACCTCTGGGGCCAATGGGACTGCAGACTAGATTAAATCAATAGTCGTCTGAAACAAGATGTCGTAATCAATCAGCTCAATTACCACTGTCATAGATCTGGGTTTAAGGTCTTTCCTGATTCCACTCTTCTAATCATTAACCCTTATACATCCTCAAAATAGGAACACACATTTGGTCTGCTGCCCTACCTTTCAGATCATCGAAGACTAACTTAGCATTTTCCCCTCTTTTTCCCTTTCCCTATTTAAATAATATAAGAATAGGTCAGCAAGAAATGTTTTAAATGTGAATATGGCAAGTTAGATGCACTCCTTTAAATGTACCTATTATGTATTTGCTGTGTGTGCGCTTATATATTATTATTGTGCCTCAGGGAGTGGCTGGGTGGATCAAAGACTGCTGTTTAATTACCATTCAACTCAGCTGTTTCCTTGGAGATTAAAAATAGAATACTAGTTGAATTAAACTGAAGCTGTTCACCCCTTTCACTAATCCAGTATTACAGAACTCTTCTCCCCTCAACCTATTTAGGAATAACTCATTTCTGGTTAATCAGCCACTAGGAAAATCCATTTTCAGTTTGAGGGTAAGTGTGAAAAAGTTGGAAAGACATTTTTGTATGTATGTCTGAATTTCACAGAATTACCCAATCATTTACATTTTGCATCCACGGTACAGTTTATCCTCATGTGATGCAAGGAGAAAAGAAGCATCAGGTTTGAACACAAGCAGAACCACTTTAAATCTTGCCTGTAATTATTATTCACTGTATAAAGATTAAATGTCATCCATTTAACTTTTTTATTCTTTATTCCTGTGCAGGTCCTGAAAAGACTGGAAAGCTTTTCATAAAAGTGCTCAAGCAACCGTCACATATCCTTCTCTCAGCTTCTCAAGAGGAAAGAAAGAATCCAGGTAGCGGGTATCCAGAATTCTGGTCTCTTAAATTTGATTTATTCTGCTGATAGACTCAAATAATAATAGTGAAAGTAAACCCCATTACATTTACAGTTACATCACTGTCTGTAGGCACTGCCTCTGTCTCCAAGCAGAACCACACCTTTTTTAACCATAAATCTGCTTTTCAGCTGGAGAGACCAAACGCACAGCCCCAATCCATTCAGCTCTTGTGAATGCCGATTAGCAGAATTAGCTCCTGTGACATGTCAATGAAATTCTGGGGAATTTCTAGAGGTGCTAGGAGTGGGTGCGGGACAGGGGCAGCAAATAGGTGTTTCACAGGAGAGGCAGAGGCCGGGGGTCTGTCTGCGGGGAAGGCACCTGCTGGGGCAGGGCGCCGTGCTGTCCCGGAGAGGTTATAACTGGAGATTGATTGCTGGGTTTAATAATCCAGCTGTTTACATGAGTAGAAATGTTAAAAATTGGTCCAGAAAATTGTTCAGCTGCTAGCATAGGTGCTTTTTAACAGGCTTATACCTCAGCCAGGATCAACTTTGTTACAATAACTGACCCCTGACAGATGGAAAAAAATGACCTCAGCTTTGCATCTTTTCTGGGAAAGATATAGTTGACAGTGGGATGAGATACAATAAGAACCTTAATTCTGTCTCTTATTAATGCTAAATGAATGCTATACACCAGACACCACCTTAAACTGGATGAAGGGTACTGCTCAGTTCTGCAGGCAGCGGTTCAGACCGTGAGCATCATCCACAAGGGGACAGCATTCACATCCACACTGAGAGGATGCAGTTTGTGTGCATGAAGAGCAGAACGAGGGTAGCAGCCATTGCTGAAAACACCCAAAGATGATATTTTTATTTTTTTTTTTTTAAAAAGGGGGAAAAAAAAAAAAAAGGTGTTTACTGGATTATTACTTATGAACAGAGAGGGAGAAGCGGTGAGGCTGGATATGGATGTCAGATATCAAAACCTATTCAAATACATGATGAGCCTTTTGTTTCTTAGACAGCAAGAATAAGGTGATTTGCAATATTAATACAAAGTTTGTGTGAGAGATAAAGATTCTCTAGGATAATAAATAATAATGTTAAGAGAATGCAATGACATGTAGATACTATTGGAGCAAAATCAGAAGGTGTCTAACATGAAGGGAGAAAAGCACTAATATCAAATGTTATTCTGATACTGCAGTTATCATTTTCATATTCTCAGTGTGCTCCAGATGGGAGGTAACACCCTCATCACTCTTCTTTTTCTAGGAGCAAAAGTTTCTTCATCACAGTGCACATGAAATGGATACCCATTAAAATAAAAGGTATATCTTCCTTTAGTGTAGCATTTAAATGACTTAGAAGAATGGGACTGTTAGAGTGACCTGTGTCTAAGCACATGCTGTAGTTTTGTATGATTGTCCATGATACCTTCTCATCCCACCGATGTACATCAAGGGAACAGACTCCAGAAAAATCCCACAGCTACCTAATTCCAGATCTGTGACAAAAATCTTTCCTCTTAATTTCTTATTTAGAGATACTACACCTATACTTTACCTCACTTTTTTACTAACAGTACCTTTTGTACCTTAGCTGAAATTCCCACCTGATCGTGAAATATTAAAAAAAAATAAATATCTATATCATACAAAATCTATTACAGAAAGGAAATCACACAAATAAAAACAGAGAAACAGCAGTATCTTTCTCTCTCTATGCAAACTCCTTACTCAAGAAATGCTATTATACCATCTCCTTGCTGACTTGTCAATTTACCTGCCCTTTATTAAAACACAGACATATGACAGCAGAAATTATTGCAGTCTGAATTACTTTGAAAGTACATGAATACTATTGAATAGACCTTGATTTCACTGACATTTTCAATTAAAAAAGTAATTATTTGTGAAAACTAACCACCATGATATTTATTCTTTTTTGACCTATGTTTTCTTGAGCTTTAAAAGCATGAAATAATGAATGAATTGACTTATCTATTTATGAACACTTTTTATACTTACTTCACTAATTGCTTTGCGTTGCTGCTTAATATAGCATCTGCACAACATGAAGAAAAGGACTGGGACTTAAATGAAATTCCAACCGTTCATAAAACTGTTTTTGACTAAACAGTCAAGTTTGCATTTGCAGCCTGTTCAATAAGAAAGATG